TTATGACACATTTTTGAGAGAGAAGAGGGAGGGTCCCTGGTTGAGCCTGCCCTCAGGGGCAAGAGGACAGAGCTTTGTTCTGACCACAGCACTGAGCTGTTAGTGACAAGACCCCACCCAGGGGAATATTTGCTACCCCAAAGAGAGGGTTGTAATGATGAGGTGCAGAGCAGAGCTGCCAAGTGCTCCCTTTGGGTTTGGAAAGCAGCCTGGTGGGGATGGTGCAATGGGTCCAGCAGCACTGATGTCTGTTCAGGGGGATTTTCAGAAGTGACTGAGAGCCTTCAGCTCCCACTAACTTCAGCTTCTGCTGTTAATCTGCCTAGCTTTTCACCACCAAAATACCTGGCCTCGGATTCTTGGTGCTGTTRTAACTCTTGCATTTGCAAGAGGGCTCTTGACCTTAGGGCAGCCAGCTCTGGAGTCAGTCTGGATGTTCCTTCAGGGCCACTGCTCCCAGCCCTGGAGAGCACTGCCCTGCCTGGGTCCTTGTTTTCACTCCCATCACTGGTGATGACAGCCTAAAATGGTCAGTGGAACTGGAGCAATGCCTCGTCGTAGTGGTGCTGGTTTCTACCTGTTAGTGGCTGCTCGCAGATTCCCCTGCATCTTTCTTTTTGACAAAGAGTCACCTTTTGCAAACAGCTCAGATCACACCTGAGAGTTCACCTCAGGGACAAGTGCCTGCCTGGCCAGAAGGGTGGTTTGGCCTGAGGGCCAAATTCTCCCCATCCTTGGCTGGAAAGCATCAGTAAAGGACAGGATCTGTTGGGCTGCTCTCTAAAGCAAATGTTTGTCAGGTCAGAGAGAGCTGCTTACAGCTTGGCCAGCAGCGTGGCGTGCCTCCCATGGATGCCCACGCAGCTTGGCTTTCCTGCTGCCCACAAGTARCCCCAGAACAACTTGGACAGCATCCATGAGCATGCCAAAAGGGAGTGGGTGTGAGGTGCTGGCCATAATGGTGGGGTCACATCACAAGGGAAGGCAGCTGCGGCACAGCATGAATGAAATGCATTCAAACAGAGGAACTTGGAAAATGTCTGACCCATGCTAAAAGGCTGTATGAAAGCCTACTGTCAAATAATTGACTTATCTTGAAGTAGTAATCTTTATCCTCTCTCTTTTCCCTTCAAACACAACACATGCATGAATAGTGAAAAGGACACAATCCTGTGCAATGGGATCTGGGAGGTTTGACCACACGACCTCRCTGTGGTCCCTTCCAACMTCATCCATTCTGTGATTCTGTCATAGCAGTGGTGAGAGGTGCTGGGTTATTTGGATGCTGGGACACTGTGGGCAGAGCACTGAGAGGTGAAGGAGCAACAGCTCCAGAGACTGAGCTTTTCTGTTTATCCACAGAGCAAACGTGATGTAGGCTGCAGAACAAACCTGCTCTCAGCCTGTCTGACCCAGCTCTGGGGTGACAGAGGAGTTACATCTCCCTGTCTCCTTCAGCCCTGGTCCTTTTGAATGAGACACAGCTGAGAYTGAGCAGGACACGTGTCCTCAGTGGCATCTCTTTGTTTTTTCTGTCTGAGTCTCCTTCTGGCAGTGGGAAGTGCTACAGAGCAGGTGCCTTTGCCAAAAATGCATTTTTCTTCACAGCACCTACTCTGTTCTCCGTCAAGAAACAAAATTCTTGYCAAATTACAGCTGCAACGGGGTTTGTCTGTTCTCTGACTTGTGAAGGTTGGCACTCAGGGCCGTGGCAGTTGTTGGTCCTCCTGCTGCTCCTCTGCTTGCCACCCCTAGCTGTCATTCCTCCTTTCCTGTCCTCCTGAGATGTTCACAGAACATGCTGCATGTGTCACGGGGGTGACAGTGACACTCCCACAGCCTCTCATTTTCAGCCTGAGATCTGCACTTGCCTGCACAAACAGGCAGATGTGCATCAGCAAGTGTCTGTGTATGTGTTAGGAGGGTGATATTTGAGCAGTGAATCCCTCTTTCCACAAAATTATTTTTTGTCAGAGGGATGTAGATGKGAGATACGCTGTAGTTTCCTCCCCTTGTGCTGCTGAAACTGAAGGATGGAGGAGCTGTGCCCTGAGCTGACAAAGCTGGAGCCCTGAACCTTTGCCCCCCAGCCTTGAAGGGGTCTGGGAATTTAACTGTTGYATACTCAACTTTTGAAGGTGAGGGAGAAGCATGGGAAGAGCTACTCCCARCCTTTCTCACTGGCAGGGTTGGAAGGGATTTGGTGATCAAAWTCTCTTGTGGCCATCCAAATTAATTTTTGGTGTATATGTAAGTCACAGATGAAAGGAAGAGAGAGCAAGAGGCATGTCTGCCTCAATCCCATGGGTTTATGAACAAAGGTTCCTGAAACTCTTCAAAAAAAATTGTTAAATACACGTACATAGGACAGCAATGATGAGAAGGTTCTGTGGTTCACTAGCAAGGCAGGAGCATGCTGTGAAGTTTCTAAACAAAGTAGTAAAGAGAAGGGACAAAAGGGAGATGATGAAGAGGGTTGTTAATGTCCCCCTTACCTGTGTCATCCTCTGCAGGTGTTATGTAGAAGACAGAAGCTCCAAGGTGGCCTGGTTAAACCGCTCYGGCATCATTTTTGCTGGAGAGGACAAGTGGTCCCTGGATCCTCGAGTAGAGCTGGAGAAGAGAAACCCCCTGGAATACAGCCTGCGGATCCAGAAAGTGGATGTCTACGATGAGGGCTCCTACACATGTTCAGTGCAGACACAGCATCATCCCAAGACTTCCCAGGTTTACTTGATCGTGCAAGGTAAGCAAAAAAAAAAAAAAAAATACAGTGAATGGAAGGATCTGTATTTTTCTAAGAAAAACTCCAGTCAGTAGTCTGTGTGTCCCTGATGTTTACACAGGAGCTAGCAGGACTGTTCCCTTCCACTGTGGCGTAGTGTGGTTTTACTCTGCTGTCAGTTTGTCCTTTCAAAAGTGGTGACAGAGCAGGGGACATCAGTGATGCYAAGCCATATTCCAGCATAATGCAAACCTGCTCCTGGCTCTGGTTGTTCTGGCACCGATGGGAAAGCATTTGTTTATAATGACACTTTTCAGAACATTGTGCYTCACATCTTCCCAGAGTGCCCTCTGGTTTCTTCACCTCCTCCTTCYTCAGGTTTCCTTTCTTTCTTCTCGTGCCAGCAAGCTACTGTGCTGTGTTTTTTTGCCTTCTGTAGTCAACTCTTTGCAAGGCTGGGGAATTAATTTTGCTGAGAGTTTTTCCATGCTGGGTCATTGGTTCATGGGGAGCACTGTCACTAGGCATGTGTGAAACCTGGTACCTGAGGGAGCTGCTGTGTACCTTATGTTGCCCTCTCCTTTTTTTAGCTATCCTATTCCTGTGGATGTTATAGGGAACTGGAAACTTTGCAAACCAGCATTRTCCTATCTGTCTTCCTGCATTTATGGCATAAGAAAGAGTAAAAACATTAAAGCAATCACCAGTTACTGGCAGGGGCCTCAGTGAGTTTTCTTGCTCCATCCTCACTAAACAAGTGAGTTTACWCAGTTTTGTTTAGTTTTGCTTTTAACCTTCATGCCATTTTGTCTATCTGACTATTTATCTAAAATATTTACAAAGCAGCTTAGGTGATAGATATGTACCAATGTGTTTGATACAYATTACAGATGTGTTCAACTTCCACATTAACCTTCAGGCAGGAATTTGTTATTTCTCTTGATTATTCTAGTCACCCTTATGGCTGCAGATTTTACTTCCCCCAGAGAATTTTTTTTAATTGTTCTGATTTTAAATTCATGCAGGAAGGGACTTTTCTTCTTGTTGGTAGTATTTGGCAAACCAGGGGGCTAAGTAACACCCAAGTGTCTATCTGCAAGGTGAAGAAGTCAGCACATGTGGTCAGAGGTGATGCTTTGCACACAGGTGTAGTGAGCCAGAAGTCCCCTGGTTTATTTTCTGAATAGAATCCTCCCCCAGCAGCACCAAGAGCAGCCCACAGAGCATCTCTGCCGGCTTGGCTGAGCTCTTGCTGTGTGAAATACATTCCCCAGCCCTGGAGGTGTACCCTGCCTCGCTACAGCAGAGCAGAGCCAGCCCTCTGTAGGTGGTTTATTGCTGCTGAAATCTCACAGCATACAATTTCCATTTACCTGTCAAGAAAAATATAGGGACAAATGAATTCTGGAGCCGTGCATATGTATTATTAATTTTATTTGTGCCTATTAGATATGGGCCTAAGCAGCAAAATTGAGTTCTCTAGCTTAGCTTTCACTTAAATACGTGGSTATCTGGCTCTGAACTACTGCCACCTTTCTGAGAATGAGAAAATTTAGGTTTTGACACACCTAAAGTCTGGATGCCTGTAAATAAGGTATCTGTGGGTAATCTTTGTGCTAATGCCTGCCACAGATTTCATAAAAGACCCATTGTGATACTGTGCTTACTGTAATCCTGTAATTATGTGAAACTCATAGCTTTAATTTTTCTAAAATGAAATTAAATCTGGGAAAAAAAAAGTGAAGGAAAATATAAATACAAAATCCTTTACAATTTGGAAGAGTTAGTCTCATTTTAAACATGCTTTARGAATAATCTTAACTAATAAAATTAATTCAGTACAAAATAATGTATGTTAGCAAGTAATTCCTGTAGTCTCAGAGTATTATTTTCTTATAGTGATTGCTATTTTTCTAAGATTTGCAGGTTGTCTGCCTGAAAATTAGGCTGCTGCTAGTACAAGTCAAAGGAGTTTGCATATTGAATCATGCTAAACTATTTTGTTTTATTTATTTAATATCATTTATTWACTTTTCTTGTTTTTGTGTTGATACATTTCGAAACACAGGCTTTTTGAAGCTCTGGGCATACCACATGTAAAAATAAATAAATAAATAAAAGAGAATACACTCCTGAAACATTACATGACAGAGTGGCCAACTGGTCTGCCTGGTTATCTGGGAAGAGAATTTCTGGGATGACGGTCAGCGATCTCCTTTGAACAAGCCCACAGAAACAAAAACAAAGCAGGATCAGAGACTCATTGCTAGCTTTGTGTGCACATGGTTGATGCCTGGATTTGCCAGTGAAAGATMCTGCAATGCCAGCTGCTCCTGCCCTGGAGACAATGGGCTGTTTTAGGGCCATGCTCAGGCTTCCCATTCTGCTCACTCAGTGCTGTCACAGATATTTTTGCTCCCCTTTACCAAAGACAAGTCCTTAATCTCCCCCAGTTGAACTCTGTSTAGCCCCTGTGCAAACCCAATCTCTTTTACCCCTAGGCACAAATGAGATAGCTGCATCAGACATTATAAAGTGGGTAAGCAGATCCTATAGCTGGAGTTCTGTTGGAGCCCCTATATTTGGARACCACTCCATATCCACAATGCTGGCAGAGGCAGGCAGCCTTCTGTGTGCTGAGGGTTCACTGTGCTGAGATCATTTCAATCTAATGGTGTTGCATTCTAGGACCTTTCCAGCCTTGAGAAAATCAGCTTTCCCTGGGGTGAGTTCTGCTTGGTGAACTGTGCAGGACAGAGCTGCAGGTGTGTGTCACAGAAAGAGGGACATCACCTCTCCAATGTATGTGCCCAAGTCCTTTCATATTTCCAAGGGAAGAGCCATTTCTACTTTGTCAGCCAGCACCAGTCTCTTCAAAAATAGCCATCTCTGTCAGCTCCTTTCCTCTCTCGTATTTATATGTCCACTGACAGGTTTGCCTCTCAAGTGGGCATATTGCAGAGGTCTAAAAGGGGCATAATGAGATGGCACTTAAGAAAAAAAATCAGAACTTCGTGCACAGCTAAAAGTAGMAAAAGTTGCCCTCATTAGTCTTTCCTGCTTTTCAAACATGAAGCCAGCTCTGCTAGTAGAAGTAGGCAAAAGATTTGTTAGTTCAACTGTGGTCATCTCTTCTGTCTTTCTGACCCAGGTGGGGTCATGAGATGGGAGGCTCTCTCCCTGCCCATCTCAGCTGCTCCCAAATGCACCACGAGACTGTTCTGAGGCACCACCTCACTCAAAGCCTTTTCTGCTGCTTCAGCTGGGGTGTAATGGACACTCCTGAATCTTTCTGTTTATTACCCCAGATATTCCTGCTTGTGTCTGATTAAAAGAGTGAACCCTTGAAAGGAGCTGCAAGAGATGGTCTGGTCCTTCCCCATGCAGTGAGACAAGATCAGCTTTACAGTGGCTGCCCCTAATGTGTATTATTTGAAGATGCCCTGTGCCTGCAGAGCTGGCATGTCCATTATTTCACTCTCCTTGCATTTGGAAAGCTTTTATTAACATATGATCCAAATTGATTTTGCTGCCAATTATTTCTGGTCCTTCCAAGATACACAGTGGTTATTCCTCCTTCTCATCCTCAAAACTGCCTTTTATCTGCCTGAAACTCCTTAATTCCTGTGTTACAGACATTTCTAGTCCATCTTAACATACTCACTGCTTTCCACAGGTGATATTTTTCAGCTCTTGTGGCATATATATTTCTCTACTGTTTGACTTGTCTACATGCTTTCCTTAAATGTACTGTCCAAAACCAAAACAAGAGTTCAGTTTAGGATTCATCCATGCAGATACAAGTACCAGCTGTGTTTTGCATATCRCACTTCACTTACCTAACCCCAAAATGAAATGAGATTTACCTTTTTTAAATGAGTGCCTCACTGCTTTCACTTATTCAGTCTTTCTCCGTTTCTAATCCCCTCTTACTGGTCTGCAGCTCATTCTTCTCTTTTGTATTTGTTTTCCCCCCTTTTCCTGAGAATACTGCTTTCTGCTCACTGCTGCTGGATGCCATCTGGTTGGTTTTGCCATGGAGACTGTTTCAGTTTATTTATGATCCTGGGCTCCAAAGCACTTGCAACTGGCCCCAGCTTTGTGTCGTCGACAAAAGTCAGGTGCCTTCTTTCTGTTCCATCTTGAAGGTGTTAATTGAAGTATTGAAGAGATCAGGACACAAAAGCAGACTGTGGCAGCAGCCCACTAAACCCTCTGTCCCCGATGGAGAGTTGATTGAAGCTCTTTGAAACATCCTGATGGTGATTTAACATCCACCATATTCTCTTAGCTTGTTGAAGACTGTTGGGTCTTCTGAAGTCAAGATATATCACATAATCACACATATTGCTTCTAGAATTATCTGCTGTGCCAGCTATCCTACTAAAAAAGGGAAATGAGGCTGGGGTGGCATTATATGTGTTTGCCAGAAATACGTTGCTTTTTTCCCCCCTTTATTATTATCCTCTCGGTGCTTATAAATTGGATGTTTAATCATTTGTTCCAGTATGTTGAGTGACTTGTTCCAAGAGAATTGAATCATAACGGGGACACAGTGGCTGCCCCTTTCCCAGCATTAYCTTGGGTTCTTGTTCTTTTAGGGCTATATCCTCAAGCCCTTCTCAAGCATTAGATAACAATGGAGAAATTCTTATAGTTCTTATTTGTCTCATCAGGATTATAGTCAGAAGGGCACAGAGATCTTGGCATGCACAGGGTTAAAAAAATTCTGCAATAAAGACCTAGGCCTATCCAAGTCAATCTGGAGGAATAATTCTACTAGGAKGAAGCAAATGGTTGCTGTCCAGAGCCTTTMCAGCCAGGCATCATTGTGGATGGAYGTAGTTGCAACTTTTCAGTGAAAGAAAAACATTCCTGGTTTTGAATTTGATTAAAATTTAATCAGGAAGGATTTACATGTTTGAGGCGCTTTTTCTGCTCAAAACTGTGAAGACAAAAAGATAGAGCATTACTACAGCCTATCTAAAACCTAATCATACTCAGCTGAGATATGAAGAGCT